TTTTTTTTTATTTTTGCACTTCTGCCCATCAATCTGGAAATAATAATAGTTCATAAGAAAAAAGCACCAATTAGTTTTAAGATGAAAACTTCAACATGACTTTCACCTTGCTATTTCATAACTCTTGAAAGTTACAAGTGAAAGAAGAAAATAAGACTAAATTTAATGATACTGATAGCAAACAATACAAATACATACACTAAATATTTTAACAAATAAATGACTAGAAAAAATAAAGAGTATGCTGATGCTGTTTCAAATCAAATGATAAGCAACATACAAGTCAGACAAAAAAAGCCAGTAAAAATGACACTTATATATAAAGTGGTCCACAGAAATCAGGATAGGTTCATCTTGAAAAACTAAATGCATCGAGGAAACCCCAAGTACATCCAACACAGTAGTACTAAAAACAATACTTGGAAAGTTTTAAACAGAAGGACTAATAAAAGTTCAGTTAACATCCACATCTTTTCAGCTTTTTTAATTCTTAAAATCTGACTGAAATTTCCAAAGCAAACACTATATACAACTGCCAGTCACTAACCCACCACAATACTATTTTCTTAAAGAAGTTTGCTGGTGTTGTGTGCCTCTCTTTAATTATATTATCTCAAGATTTACAGCTTGGATCAGGTAGAAAGCCAGCCCCTCCCTCATACTACCAAAATTGCCTATGCATACATTTGTGCTGCCTTCATTAGCCCATGACTTCTTAAGAGAAAAACAAGTTTTATTTATCTTTATCTCTGAAGTGCTTAAGAAAGCACATTTATCTCACAAGAGGTATTCAAAAAAGATGTCTTCTTTAGTTAAACGTCATCATACCATGGCCAGAACAACAGTACACAAATCAGGTATAATTAAATCAAAAGCACAAGCTAGTTTGTGATAGAGAGGTTCTCATCCCTGTTTTTAAAAACTAAAGTTTCACGTGGTCAAGAAAAAACAACCACTACCATCAGTGAGCATTACACAGTAATAAGCAGGAATGCCTTGCCTACACTTATTGTTAATAAATTATTTAATAAGGAAAATTCATATCAACACAAAGAAGACTCCTTCTTCCCTTCCACCAAGTATTCTCCAGGACTTTTCAATTTTTTAACTCCTCAGAACTTTCCTTTATCTCCTTGATTTTGTTTATTCCACTCCTACAAGAGAGTCCTCCAGAGAAAAGCAGTGATAACTACTGAAAGGTCCAGATCCAAAACAGAATTAATCTTTTAAGAAAAGCAGGATTCTTACTCACATGATCATTCTGACCCACTACTAAAGAGATGCAAAATTACAAAAAAAAAACTTATTTAAAAGTGATACTGAATGATCTGAGATGTCTCTATAAACTATACATTTCGTACAGAACCTATCCATCCTAACCCTCAAGTCTACACCTATTAGACTCACTGAAGATCATATTTATTACAGGTTCCTAAAAAATAGCCAGGCAAATACACAATTTCTTATCCTGGTGGACAGGTGATCATCTCCAGATGACATAAAGGAAGGTTATTCTCTGATATTATGAAAATGGAGACAGTGTATAATTTTGAAGCAAAAAATATACTTTCACCTTTACTTCTATTTAAGGGTATTTGGCTTAAAACAGAACTCATTTTGGAAGGAACCTGTGAGAGAGAAAGAGAGAAGGTGGGGACGGGAGGGGGAACAGGAGGAGGGAGGGAGGAGAGAGGTTGGGAGGAGAGACAGAGATTGATTCTAAAAATTTATATGCTTTAAAACAAGAACTTTTTGGATTCGGGTAAGATCACTAAATGGTCACCAGAATTAAACTCCCATATTTCTAATATTCATTTAGTTGCTTGTTAGTTCTCAAAAGGTGTATCTGTTTTTCATAACATTAATGATGATCATTTAAGTACATAAAGTCTAATTTTCCTTTCCTCTTTTAGTTTTCAAACTCAAAATATGGGGATGGTAATTCCAAAATTATGTGGATTAGAAGGTATTAGAAATACCTTCAAAATGAGCTGAAATAAAAAGGTAAATGATTATTTGTATTACATACAATAGCAAAACTAATTAAAGTAAGATCAGATAACAATACCTGAAAAAAGAATGAAACTGAAAGGATTCACAGACGAATATCCAGACAAAAATTTTAAAAAATTATCACATTCAAAGAAAATATCTTAAAATAGCAGTTAAAAAATGAACTAAAAAATTAGTTTCTATTTTTTTAAATGGAGCCAAAAGATGATTTAACACACAAGGAATTCTATTTGAGAGAATCCAAGAGCCAATTACAACCTTGTAAGACTTCAGAAAAATTCAATCCTTGAAACATTTAGCAGAATATAAATACACTACCCCTTCCCCTCCAAAAACATACTACTACCATTAATTTATTTCAACCCTGAACTACCCAATGAAACTCTACAGGAGGTGCATCTAAAATAGGATCAACACTTTAAATGTTGTAATCAGAAGCTCCAATATTTTTAAAAGAAAAACAGTGAACTAAAACACTGCTCAAGCAATATTCAATCTATTTCTAATCCACTATGTGGTAACATGTAACCTCCTGGCTGTCCATAGCTCCTGACCCTGCAATGACCTCTGAAGGCCTGATATTTGCTTTTTTTTTTTAGGATCGAAGTTTCTTGGATCTCTGGCTTTTCTGCTTCCCTAAATTCTTTCTTTCCTACTCTTCATTTGGCTAAATGTAATAGTTCCTATCTCTACCTGAGCAAACTTCAGTTATATTTACTATTCAAGTGTAATATGGATTTTTCTATTACTGTCTCTAGCCAAGGCCTAGGTCTTGGGTATTGTGCTCAAATAGGCCCTAGGATTTAATCTAATTTTTTAAATATTTTTATATCTGGATCTTGCTTAAATTTATTAGTTCTTCTCCCTGATAATGAATACACTGAGTAAATACATAAAATAAAAATCATTTAACTTTTTATTAACAGCAGCTTTGATACAAGGTTGATAAAAAGGAAACCGCATGTAACCCTCTAAGTATTTAATTTCTTAAAGCTAATTTTATCATTAATTAACCAAAATCAAGTTAGCAATACATATCTGCAAGAGTTTTCTTAGGAACTCCAGGTCAATAACAGTTAACTAAGGCCCTAGGACTAAAGTTAAAAGTATTATCCTAATAAGAAAGTTAAAACTTGATGAAAAACCTCCGAATCTAATCTTCTTTATGGGATAAACATATGGGCAAACCATGTCTACGTAAAAACCTGCCAAGTTCCAAGAATCTTAGACATTTAAGTAAATTTGTAAGGGAATGAATAGGGACAAAAATTTTAAAATGTGTCAGCATTACCATGGTAGATCAGACACAAGGGAAATCCTTGCTCAGCAGCTAATTACCTATACCCAACTCCAAAAAAAATTTTAACCCATTTTTGTCTAAGAATTTGAATTTGAATGATTTGCTATTCACCTAATAAATTTAGATGATCTTTGTTTAAAGAAAAAGAAAGTTTCTATTTTGTGTAAACAGAGTAATATCTAAGAATTTATCTTGTGTGACTATTAAATTCCTAACATTTCCAAACTATTAATGAAGGACACTACTGAAAAGTTTCTTTGAAGGAGACTCCTATATTTAGCCCTGAAGTTTTGATGAGATATCCAAACCAAACTCTCCTGAAAATATTCAAAACAGAAGTATGGGTAAGTTTCACAATGTATAAAAATTACTCTCCATTATGATAATATTTTCCTTCTTGATTCCTTCTCTTGAGTAAATTTGAGAATACTAATTTTACATAGATAAAAGCTTCATTAGTATGGTTCTGAAACCATATAAGCTAAAAGTTTGACAATTATAATCAAGAAAAAACTGTAATCCTCAGTAGTAGATCTTTCTCTCTTATTGCTGACCAAGAAACCACTACTCTTCTAGTAAATATTATTCTGGATGGAGAGGAATCACCAATTGAATTCCATAGATGCATTAAAAAATTACACAAATGAAAGAAGTAGGACGCCAACAGAGTGACATGTTTTCCTTTACAAATGTCAAATATTTAGTTAGAATATCTTTATATGAGCACCACAGCCTTATTAATTATCCCTCAAACACTGTAAACTTACTTTATAAATATACAAATTATTAAGAGATGATGGTAATAAACACCTCTTAATGATGCTTTTTTTTTTCCTTTCATGAGTAATAATGACAAATTTCCAGATTGGTGAGCACAAGGCTGGCTCAATACATAACCCACATGAAATGTCTCTCAAAGAACTCCCTACTCCTGTACCTCAAAAAGATCACTGTGTAGACTTTACCAAAGATGTAGGGGCAGAATTATAAGTTAGTTTACATCATAAATTCTGTAACTAACAAATTTTTATCAAATTAGGATTTGTCATTATAAAAATAATAAAGTAAATGAAACAGAGTCTAAATCAAAACCAAATTTTCTTCTAAGCAACAAATGCTTAAAAAGCTATATGTAGGAATATTATATAGGAGACAGCTTTCAATAGTTTATCATGAATTCATAAAACAGATAAAATTAATATTAAATGCTCTGCACTAATGTTAAATAACACATTTATAATGTTAAATAAACACATTTATAAACAGTCTTTCATTATATTCCTAACTTCATATTAAATATTATTTAAATATTTTTAAACTTACCCAAATGAAGTAATGTAAATTGGGCTGCCAGTTCCTTCGCATCTTCTAACGTAGTACAGAGTTTGTCTGGCATGAAGTAACTCTGGGATCCATTTGCAATAGCAGGAATAACTATTTTATATACCAAGAGTACTTTCCCATCCTGACTGGTTGTTGAATATAAATAATATTCTGGTGGTGCCCAATTATTCTTGTTGCAGTAATAATCCAAATGCATTACTGCAGAATTAAAATGATTGGACTTTAAAGAATACATACTAATTGGAGTAAGCTTTGTTCCAGGAAAAAAAGGGTAAGTGCATCTCTCAATTTCAGGGGGACTTGGACTATGCTGACCATTAAGACGAGCAGGAAGAGTTGGTGGCTTGCCTAGAGTTTTTGGGTGGCTCTCTTCTTTGTTAGCATACACAATCAGGTTTTCAGAATTGGGGCTAATCTGACCATTAAGATGCTGTCGCCAAGTGTTTTCTTTATTTACTGGTTTTGCCAGTGTTACCTCAATACTTGCTCCATCAATGCATTTTCCATTCATAACAGACATAGCAGCCACTGCATCTTCTCGATTGAAAAAGTGAACAAAAGCATAGTCTCTAAGTTTCTTTACTCGTTCAACTGCACCAGGCTTGAATTTATTGAATTCTGCTTTAATAGTTTCCTCTGTAGTTGATATCATTAAATTTCTTACATAGAGAACTTTAACTCTCTGCATGGTTTCCTCATCAACTTCTTTCTCTGGATCAGCCCAATCTACCTGTATGGTGTGGCCCCATAGTTGGAATGTTCCTGTATAAAAGAATTATATTAATTTGAAGACAATCAGAACAAAAAACAAAAGTTTAAAATATTAAGTAAAACTATTTCTTCAAAGAAGCAGAAACTCAAGCACATATGTTTGTATTTGGTTAAGCCTTCATTTCCTACTCACATAAAAACCTTTTATTAAAGCAAACATAATCAGAATTTAGCGGAATCCCCTCTGTACCTGATGCTGGGAACTGAACACAGGGATGCTTTAGCACTTAGCTATATCCCCAGACCTTTTTTAATTTTGAGACAGGGTCTTGCTAAGTTGACCAAGAAGGCCTCAAACTTGGGATCCTACTACCTCAGCCTCTCAAGTAGCTTGGATTACAGGCAAGCACCTGACAATGAAATTTATTTAATATGACAAATATTCTTTAAAGCTAGGTCTCCATTAGAAGAATTAATTCTCTTTGGATTTTTATTAATAGTTAACACCTCAACTAAAGTATACAATTCAGTAATTGATAATTATCATACACATGATACATTTTTATAGAAATAATTTCTTGTCTTTTAGAATCATTTATTTTACTTCCCTTACTCAAACAATTCTTTATTCCTGTTAAGCGGCATTACATATTTTGTTAATAATGATCTATGATGTACTGTTATTTTTCCATATTTGTAATAATAAAGTTAATATGGAAAAATAACCTTTAAAAGATCAGTTTACCTGGAATTAGTTTTCTCCTAGCCATAGCAGCAGCTCTGTGAGATTCATATTCAACAAATGCAAAACCACGATTTTTGGTCTTATCAGTTGCACTTGGATAGACAATGACATCTACAACTCCTTCAGTAACTTTCTTCATTTCATCCAAAATTTCTTCTTTCTTCTTTTCCTTAGGAATAGCTCCAATAAATAATCTGCAATTATCCAAGCTCACACACACACCAATAAACTTCCCTGGTCTAATCTCATAATTATTAAGAATTCTGATGGCTAACTGGGCTTCTTCTTTTGTAGTGTACATCACAAAAGCATAACCTCGATTTTCACCACTAAATTCCATCATAAGTCGAAATTCATATATCTTTCCAGCTCTTTCAAATACAGGAACTAACTCATCTTCATACATATCACGAGGTATTTTTCCTACAAAAACTTCACAGCCTCTTGGTGGAGGTGGACCTTCCCAACCTGAAAGACCAAAAAAAAAAAAATCTAAAAACATTTATTCATTACTGAATCATTTATTCATTCAACAAACTTGCTGTGGGCCTCCTATGTGCCAAGCACTATTCTAGGTGTTGGAGATACAATGGCTGATATTCAAAAGACAAGAAAGACAATAAGTGAATGGTAAGTGTTATGAAGGAAAAAGCAAGCCATGAAAGGGATGATGCATTCAATAGTGACATGGTAAAGCTCTGAGCTTTACCATGAAACTTCTCTTTTATCACAATGTTCAAGTACAAATAAGGGAATGAGCCATGACAAATCTCTCAAGAGAAGAGCATTCGGGAAGAAGAAAAAAAGAGTTTGAGATGTTAGAGCAAAACAGCATAAAGGTCTATATGGCTACAGCATGCTTGAGGGTCAAGCAAAGTATTTAGTGATACAGTCACTGAGGTCATTGGAAGCAAGAACTTTAGATATAATAAAGCTAACTGGAGGGCTCTGAACAAAGTAGCTGCACTGCCACTGATAGGAAAATAAAATACTATATCTGTTTGAATCTGATTTTCTTCTATAAATAGCAATTTTCTACTCATTGCTTTCAAATTCTCTCCCAAACAACTTCCCCTTTAATATCAAAAGTACACTTTTTCACATTGTACCTATCCAGACTTCTTTCTCAACTACTTTTCAAACCAAGAGCAGAGCTGGGGGAAAAGGGAGGTGGGAGGTGGGGGAGTAAGATGAACACAGCATATATCCCTTCCCCTTAAAATGACTGGTGAGGTCTTAAAGCAGTTACAAGGAGAGACCTACTATTTGGGATACTTGCAGAAACATACACATCATCTAAATGACTAAAGATCTAATTTAAAAGAATATAAACAAATCCCCACCTGGAGGTGGACCACCAAATTTCCTTTGCCCATTTTCTTGAACCATGTTGTAACCAGTCTTTTCCATCAAAGCAAGTAATGCTGCTTCATTCTGAGTGCCAGTTCGAACTTTACCACATCCATTTGTTCCATCTATATTTTCTTCATTCATGGCTGTAATACCTAAAATGAAGTTAAATTTAAAAATGCTTAAATTTATGTCATAGAACCCATAATCTATGAAGCATTCCTTTGTACAAGAAACCAAGGACAGTTGTGGCTGCCATGTTGGGTGATTACTCTTTGCTGTTTGTTCCCTTTAGTTCTGCATCAAGAGTTCTTCCCTACAATAGAAACTGGAAACTTCTTTTATTACTGTTTAATTAAGCAATATCTTTAGAAAGCCTGAGCCTTCTAAAGGGACAGAAAAAGTGAAAAAAGATAAATAAAACCAGTAATGATTTAAAAAAAAAAAAAGAACAAGAGAGAGAAGGAAAAAAATAAAACAAGGGCTGGGGGCATAGCTCAGTTGGTAGAACGCTTGTGTCCCATACATAAGGTCCTGGGTTCAATCCCCAACACCCCCCCACACACACACACACACAGCAAAAGGAGCAAGAAAACAAAACATACTGCCATCAAAGAATACGTAATCATTGTTAATCTTCATAGCCCAAGATTTAAATCACTTTATTATATAGGCCACTCAAACTTTCTGTGTCCAAATATAAGTAGGCTTCTGCCAATATTGCTTTTTTGTCAGCAATCCCAAACAGCTTCACCAGAATCCAAAACCCGATAACTGGAATAAGAGATTCAAGTCAGTCCCTGAACCTATCTACTAGAAGTTACTAGAGAGATGAGAGAATACAGCCTCTGGTCATCTGAGCAAAAACAAGAGCTACTATAATTTCCTACTAGCTGCAGCTTAAGAAATAAAACAGGTGGCAGGAGCTAAGGCAAAAGAGCCAAGAACTCACTTATCATTAAAAATGTACTTTAATTACCATATTCTTTAGGATTTTTCCTAATATCAATGCTGTGACTTATTAATTAATTTTATGTTGTTCATTCAATGTTATCATGAATAAATACAAAAAATTAAAATTCGCAGCATGGAGAAAAAATACACTGTGAAAGCTTTTTCACTTTCCAATAGAACCTTCCTAATTATAAATGTAAACAAAGTCACTGGGACAAAGCATTTTAAAATATGAAATTCTGAGCCACAGCACCTCAATTTCAGGTTTCCTTATTGTGCAATCTTAGACAATTTATTCAATTTCTTCTCACTTCAGTCTCTTCACTTAAAAATGGGATAACCTTATAACATGGTTGCTTTTAAGACTGAATAAGACAAGGTATGTAAAAAGACTGCCAAAATTCCACAATATCAAATAAAGGCTAGCTTTGATAAATATGAGACTAACAGTACATCTTACTTTTTTTTTGCACCAACTCTGCTGACACAGACATGCTTTTTTCAGAAACATATTTCATTTTCTCAAAAGTAAGAAGTAAGTGTAATATGACAGACACATAGCTACAGAAGAATATCCACATCTCTACAGTAAGTGGGATGGGATTGAAGTGATATCACCAAAGGATCTGCTCCAGAGCATTGAACTGTCCCTGCAGCCATCTTCCCTAGTATTACTTGGACTCATAACCTTTCTTTTCACTTACTAATTATATAATTTTAAGTTATATATTAGCTCCAATGTATCTCAATTTCCTCATCTATCATATGCAGAAATAATACTTTCTAGTCTCACAAATTTTTATGAAGAATAAATCAATGTTAAAAAAGCCTTTAGGATTCATTTTTTGGCTTTAAACAATAAAAATACTACTCAACCACAAATTTTTATGCATATATTGAAACCTTTCAAACCACTAGGCATCTGCAAATAACTATAGCCTGAAATCCCATTATTCAATTATCTATAGAATAATTGGCTTCAAAACAAAACTGTGATACCAGACAGAAACAGAATAATAATCTGATAATAAAATCATAAGAGGTTTGGTTTAATTCTGTGGGTGTACTATAAATATCAGGAAATTTCTACATGTTACCACTGATCACTACAACTACTAGAGGCAAGTATTAACCTTATTAAAAGAAAGCTATTATTTCCACTTAACAGATTGAGAGAGAATTATACTACCCAAGATCATAAGAGCCAGAAAATGGCATAGACAGATTCATAACCAGGTCTGTTTGATCTCAAACACTACCTTCCTGCCAAGAAAATTATTCTGTTATACTTTCTGCCACAATTTTACCTTAAGTCCCTTGAAAAACAAGGAAGACCCCTAAATTACTTTCATGCAAATGAAATATTCAGAAACTGACATAGCTAAATTTTGTGAACTCTTAAGTACTTCCTACTTTTATATTATCTAAATTTTTCTGAGTGATGAATGATGGCATAGCATCTCTCTCCTCTCTCCATGCACATGCATATATGTACGCACACTCTCCTTTTAAAGTTGCTTTCTAGGAAAGCAACTCATGCACTTCATAGTTTCTATGTGCCATCTATCTTATTTCCTTAAAGTTACTCTTTCGGGACCAGCCTTCTTTCCTAAGCTAAGATTCATTTACAAAACAGCCTAATGGATATGTGCTGAAAATTAGATATCATTAGGCATCTCAAATTCAACATATCAAAAACTGAATGCCAGGGCTGGGGTTGTGGCTCAATGGTAGAGTGTTCACCTAGTATGCATGAGGCTCTGGGTTCAATCCTCAGAACCACATAAATGTAAAATAAAGATATTGGCGTCCACCTAAAACTAAAAATTAAATATTAAAAAAACTGAATGCCATTCTATCTTCCAAACCTGTTACTTGTTACTTTATCTTATCTCAACTCTTTCAATGAATACAGGGCACCAAAACAAATATATTTCTTCTTCAAAGTGTCAAAGCTAGAAATCTAGGAGTTATCCCAGAGGCTTTCCTTTGACTTATGGCTAACTGATCACAAAGATATGAAGAATTCCATTGTATATAAGCACTATATATATATATATATATATATATATATACATACATACACACACACACACACACATATAATCAGTCTACTTATTATTCATTTCTTATTATATGCCAACAGCAGGTACCTATTTATAAATTCTCAAATACACATCTTCTCATATACTAGACTTTACCTAGATTTTTTTACACATTTCCTCCCTACTTTTTTTTGGCATTTTTCATTCCTAGTATTCTCTGGGAATCCTTCTCCACCTCCACTCTCCTTCTCTCAATTCTAAATTTTAGGTATTCCTTTGTATCCACTACAATCACAGAACCTAAGAAGGTCAGTCTCCCTCTTCTTCACCTACATCTCCACTTGTTCCCTTCCTCAAACCCACAAGACATTCAAGAGAGTCTAGTCTTTTATATCTCTAACACCATGTAAACTCCTTGGCCTATGATAAATGTTAAATGAATGATGCAGGACAGGAGGTACATCATTATTGAAATGAAATAATGAACTTGTATGAGAAAAGACCTGAATTTCAGTCACTGGTCAACATTTCTGTCAAATCACTTTATAACTCTGACCTTTACTTTCTTAATTAGTGAAATTCCAGTTTATGCTTACTTCTGTATATATTTAACATAATTAAATGCCATACAGAATGACAAACACAGTATATAGTACTTGCCTGTGAGATTAATACTACTCTTTTCCATTTGAAAAACAAAGTGAGTCTGAGATAAAAATCATAGAATTATAGAGGCATATATTCAATTCAGAGGTTTGTCTGCCCAAATGTTGGGCTCCTAACCTTTATTTTATATTACCTTCACTTTAAATATTTTAAAAACTAAAAGCTATGAAAAAAATGTGATTTACCTGCAATCATATAACATAGTGGTACCAATACCTGAATTCAGATTTTTTCACTACAGAAGTTTTTTTCAAACGATTAAAACATCTAGTCAAGGGCTGGGGTTGTGGCCCAATGGTAGAGCCCTTGCCTAGCAAGGGTGGGGCCCTGGGTACAATCCTCAGCACCACATGAAAATAAATAAATAAAATAAAAGTATCATGTCCAACTACAACTAAAAAAGTAAATATTTAAAAAAATTAAAAAAGTAAAACATCTAGTAACAGTTATTCATTGACTTTGAAAACTTATACCATGATTAAAAAACACTCAAAACTATATTAAGGAGAAAGTCTAGCAACAAAAGCTTCTTGGAAAAACCTCTAGTAAAATAATTTCAGAATTATTAGAGACCTTAAATATCAAATTTACCCATGTGAAATCTACATCCTCTTTTGTAACACCCATAGAGAGCAGATACCCATTTTATTCATGATTCTTACATGGACTATCATCTAAAGTACTGTATCTTTGGTTAACTGAGATCTTTCTTTTAATGCATTATAATCTTTTTCTCTATAAATTTCAATATTGATCCTGATTTACCCTCCTATCCAATTTTATACAGTTGCATCTAAAAGATAATTCTCCTCTTCTCCAGGCTAAATATTCAGTTTCTTTAAAACAACATTTCCCAAACTGGTTTCCTAAAGTATGGTAAATATAGTAAAAACAGCTTTTTTTTTTTTTAAAGGAGAAAGATGTTCTGTTCCTCAGAACACTTTTCCAGGGTATAAGTATTCCACATCTAATTATGTCTCAAAGAATCACACCTCCCTCCTCAAACTATAATAATGAACATAAGCATATTTAAGGCCATTAAAAGTTTCAGTTAAAATGAACTTTTCATCTTTGTTTAATTCCATTTAATTTCAGCATGATCTCCTAATTTCCCTTGTCAAACTATTTATTTCCTATAGAACCATTTGGAAAATGCTACTTTAACGGTTTCTTATATGCTGTACCATCATGTTCTCTCATTATCCTATTTCCTTTAAAAGTGTGGTAGCCAAAATTAAAAAGTTACTAGTGCAGAGAAAGATCACATTAGTGTCCAACAGAGTTGCATAAAATTATTGGTTCAAATGAGTTATATCTATCAAAAAAAAAATCTGTCCTGACCTATATACTAAGTAACCAGATTTTACAATCAGCTGAATTTTATCTTATTAGATTCGACTGCCAGTTCTCCCTACCTACCATCTAATCTTTACCCACTCCTTTTACTAGAGAATGACAAGAAATATATGCAAGACTTTGTACAGTTCAAGAAATTTCAATCAAAATATTGCAAAAACTTGAAATTACAGAAATTTAAGACACACAGGAGAGTCACCAATCCCATTATCTCTTTAAAAAGGTATCTGTTCTTATAAGTACCGCGTGCCACTGGAGCTCCTAAAAAGGTATCTGTTCTTAAAATCTCCAAAACAATATATATATATATATATATACACAAATATATATGTATAATGCACAATTAAGAAAGTTTACAAGTGCCTAAATTTAACACACTATTAACCAAATTATATCTCTAAAAGAACCAAAATTCAAGAGTCAGAGCCAGAGAATTATACTCAGACCTAATATATTCATTCTAAAACATTCCAGAATCAATCTGAGATCTAACCTAAATGTCTAAGGAAGCATAGCAGCCCTAATCATCAAGACAAAGTTGACATACCAATTGAGGGTTCCAGGCTCACTCTTTCCTCTTTACTTTCAGCTGTGGATTCACACTCCAAAGTATTCTACCAATTTTTTTCTTTATTCTGCAGACCCAAGGAATAGAGTAGGAAAAGGAGGGTTCCTGGGCAAGAGAATGACACAAATGGTTTATGAAAAAGAAAGAAAAAAAGTAGAAATAGTAGATTAAAAGTTGTTTTACCCAATGCACCAATGAAAAATATGAAAAAAATAATCAATAAATACTCTCTAAAAAAATAAATAAATGTTCTTTTGTCATATTTACCACACTTTCAGAGATAAATATTTTTACCTCTAGTTTAATTTTGAAAAAATGAAAAAACTCAATAAATTATGAAAAGGTCAGGACAACATAGCTAATCACAGAACAGATATACAACAATTCCACCAAATCTTTAGCTTTGTTAACTACATCTTAATTTCAAGCATCTTTCGTTAACAAATACATGTTTTTCAGATTTTCATTGTCTTGCAAAAAAGGAAATATATTAAACATATTAATAAAAAATAGATAAATACAATTTTAGTAAAATATAAATGGACAACACAATTTATCTAAGGAAGTTGGTTTCATCAATTTAAATTAAAACTTCTTCCAAATTTCTACAAAACAAGTAGTAATTTGAAAGTGAACAGGTCTTTTGCGATGTTTTAAAAATATTTTTAGTTGTTTCTGTACCTTTATTTTATTTATTTGTACGTGGTGCTGAGAATCAAACCCAGTGCCTCATGCATGCCAGGCAAGTGCATTACACTGAGTCATAACTCCAGTCCCATCTTTTGCGATTTTAAAAATTAAATGTAATAATGAAAACATTTCAAGATATCAAAACTTTTAAAGAAAGCAATTAGATATTTATGGAATTCTTAAAAGTAGATGTTAAATTCCTGATACGTTACAGTTCAGTTATACACTACGGTATAGTGAGACCATGGCTGCCAATTCAGTGGAGATTTTCAGCAGCAATTCATTTTAGTGACAGAATGCACTAGAGCAACTTGTTTGGAAAATAAGAAGGATTAATAAGACCTGTGAAGATAGGTGCATGTAAGATTATTTCAAAATAAAAGTGCACAGATGGATCAGCTGAATTCCATTTAAAATTTTAAAGAATCAGCACATTTTGTTGCAAAAAGTAAAATAAATGTAATGTAGTGTTTCATGCACCTAGAATTACTGCAGAGAGATTTAAATTTTGCATAAAATAAAAATTTTAAAAATAATTTATAACTTTTAAGAAACTTTTAAAATATTTTTTGAACACAAAAGTATATACACCCTTTGGATGCAGGACAAATACATCCACATATTATTGTCCAAATTAAGTATACCTCTATTCTTAAATTTCTTCTATAACCGAGACCATATTTTCTTCCCACAATTCCTTATCTAACCTAACCAACCACTAGGTAGTTAAAATAAAATGGTAAACAATAGCCAGCATTAAAATGTCCAACTTTTTAAGCCAACTCACTGATTTCTATTCACAACTCTTTCTTAAGTATGTCTGGTGTCATCAGACAACAAAATGACACTGTGAGACATGAGGCTTAAATTTCAATCCATAAATTGGGTATATTCTTAATCTTTAAGTCATAATATATCCCATAATACATGTTTACGTTTTAAGTATTAAACTACATTATTATCTTTAGCAATATTCAAGTTTACTACTTCCCCCTGACGTGGAAATCGGCATTTATTAAGCAGAACACAAGGCACTGTTAATATGCAGGAACTGCAGTCACCTTTACGTCTATAAAGACACACAGTTGCAAGTAAGTATTAAAAGGGAATGGTTTGAATAAGTCTATCATCACGGTTCATAAGAAATTTAAATCTGAAAAGCTCCAAATATGTCTAATTCCTCAACTTTCTGTTTTGTTCATTCTTGAAAATATCTTCCGATCACTTCAATAAGCAAATCTCTGCCCACACGTGAATTAATGTCTACTTGCAGGGCATCCTGCTTCCTGCTTTATAACGCCATTCCCAAACAACGTGGGGCAGATTTTTTTTTTAAAGACACGATTTACATAACGTAAAGAGCAGAGCCTATTTACCACGAGTGTAAAGAGAGTCAAAGCTTAAAGGAACTTCAACGTGAGCCACATTAAATCTACAGAGGAGGAAGGCGGTGCCCGAGCCAACCCAAGGTTTGCCCGAGGATCTCAGCATTTGTATTAACGCTAAGGTAAAACCCCCAATTTCCAGATTCTAGGGACTCCCTAGTTCTCCTCCAGGAAACATTTTAAAATTAGCCATTAAAGCCATCAAGTGTAAGGAAACCACGATGGTACGGTGGCGCGTCCAGCTACCCAGGGCGTACGCGGGTGAGAGGGGTCACTTGTCTTCCCGGTCCACCCGCAACCTTCCACTACTCAACACGCAGGAGAGGGCTTGGGGAAGAGACAGGAAGGAGTTCCAGCAAGAGGAAAGTTCGAGGCTCATTCTCAGTACTCGAGGGAGGCACGACGTGATTGCTAAATCTCACCCCGCGGTCCGGACGCCCCTAGGCGTCGTCTCAAAGGCTCTGGAAGAGACGCGCGGGCGCGACAACTGCCGGACGGGAAGGCGGGCGGCCCAGACCTGCTGCAGTCGACGCAGGAAGAGGGTCAAGGAGAGAACATGGAAGGCAGCAGACGGGAAGCAGCCGGAAGGCGGCCAGGGAGAGCGGAAATAAGGCGGAGAGAGGGCAGGGCGCCGCTGGGCGGAAGGAGCAGCCGAGGCCCGACGGCGGGGACGGGCGGCGCGAGAGCGGGCTCCAGACACTGTCTGGCCTCAAGATGCCCCTGGGCCAGGGAGGGACTTCTCCAACAGCTGACTTGGGCTGCTGGGTGGCACTGGGGAGGGCGGGACGAGCCCACAGCGACTGCCTTTGGCGGGGCAAGATCCCTGCTGCCTGTTCAGCGTGACAGTGAGTGGGACCGGACTTTTTGCGGCCAAGGGGCAGGGTCTCCAGCCGTTAGGTGCGGTAAGTTAGTTGGCAGTAAACCCACTGTCCCCATCCTTTCCTCACCCCTTTGGGTCTTCAAAGGTTGGTCCTAAATCCCTGGGACCAACGACCACAAACCGCCGCCACCACCACCGTTTCGGGGACCAGTCGGGCGGAGGGGCGGGGGTCGTCTCAGGGGGAGGGGGCCCACCAGGAGGAGCTCGCGCTAGTCCTCGCGCCTTGGCTAGGCTCCCAGCGGGCGCTGCGCGAGGTGGCCTAGACAGCCCCACGCGGCGGGGTGCTTCGACCAATCAGCAGCTCCTCGGGGAGGAGCCAGGAGGAGTGGGCTGGACCAAGGGTCAAATCAATTAGGAGGTTCTTGGGAGAGGTGTGAGAGTTTGGAGTGACTGGCACTGCAGTCAATTGAGGCGAGAAAAGCAATACTAAGGGTGTGGACGGGCCTGGGGCAATGACAAATGAAAGTCTCACATATCTAAAGGCACTAAAAAGTTTATAATTTGAATTTATATACCTTGCTTACTTAGGGAAATATAGATACTTGTGAAGTTTCTTTTTCTTGTTTGAAGGAATTTGTAAGTCTTAAATTACTAGCGTGTGGGAAAAGTCATATATTTAACTGTGGACCTTTTAAAAGAAGGGCTGGAGTAGGTGGCTTATAAGGAAGCTGATTCATAGTGGGATTGGGAAGAATAGACGACTCTAGATAGGGTAGAGGGGTGGGAGGGAAAGAGAGGGGGCATGAGGTTAGAAATGATGGTGGAATGTGATGATCATTATTATCCAAAGTACATTTATAAAGAAACAAATTGGTATGAATATACTTTGTATACAACCAGAGATATGAAAAATTGTGCTCTATATGTGTAAAAAGAATTGTAATGCATTCCGCTTCCTCATATAAATAATAAAAAAAAGCTACTTAACTTACTTGAACTCCTGTTCAAAATAGAGATTGTGAGGATCCGATGATGAATAATACCAAAATTTGATAAAAGTACTATCCCCACAGATTGGGAAATTGAGATTTAGAAAGCTTAATTCATTAAGTCTTAAGCTTTCAATTCTTTGAGAATTTCAACAGAATTGACGCGGGAGCTCTAAACTACGTTGGAAATCATAATCTAGAGTTTATATAACCTTTATATATACATATATATATGTGTGTGTGTGTGTGTGTGAAATGTATATTTTTAAAAGCTCTAGTCATTCACCTATTTTTTCAAAAGAATAGAACTCTTACAAACAATGATTATTTTGAAAGTTACTGTAAGTAGTATATTTGTTGCTCAATTTAAGTTTTTATAGTTGCCCTGTGTCTAGAACAATGGGCCTTAATGGATTAAGCAATTTGCCTAAGATTTTACAGCAATTAAGTGAACCCAGTTTAGCTCTAAAACCTGTAGATATAACCACTATATTTCCAGAAACAAGAACACTTGGCAAAAAAAAAAAAAAACAAGATTGAAGATAAGCACTTTGGAAGCTCAACAAATATTTTTTTTTTTGAGCTCTCTGCCCTTTGGTCAGTGAATACCAGTCTCATTTTATGAAGGCTATATGCATACAAAATAAAGCAACTACAGTGGTAGAACTACTTGGCTGTCTTTTCTTTTTAAAATTTGTTTTCTAAATAAATAAAATAAAAGTATAACACAATACCTTTATTTTATTTATTTAGTTTTATGTGGTGCTGAGGATCGAACCCAGTGCCTCACACATGATAGGCAAGTGCTCTACTACTGAGATATAACTCCAAACCTCTTTTTTTTTAAACATGCCATCCTCTACCTCAAGAATTGGGGTTAATAACAGTTATATCATATTGATTAATATTTGTTTTGGTTTTTTTTTATTTCTCCAGAAAAGGACTCACCACATTCTTCATTTTCTTGATGTATTCTCAGTTCCTAGTAGTTAATTTTAAATACAAGTGTGTTTAAGGTTAAAATAACTAAAATGGTGCTAAAACAAATAAGAATTTCAAAAAATTGCTGTAGGATCCTTCAGTCATTGGGTGGAGATAGCTTTTGAGGTGTGAAAGTTCTTAAAAGCAGACTGAGGAGTTGTTATTTAACATTTTTAATTTCCTTGATTTTTCCCTTTGCCTGGCCATTTCCCCAAAATATAAGGAAAACTGAAAAAACAAGGGTTTCTTAATAAGCATGAGAGTCAGGTCGTAGAACCTTTCATTAGATAAGACAGTATTGTTTAAAGACTCTTCCCCCACTTAAATTCTTTGTCCTTTAGGTCAGATTCCTTCTGAGGTTTTTATTATTCAAAGTTTTTTTTTACAGGCATATTTTTCAAATTGTATAAAAATTACATTTTCCACTTGAAAGTTACTGTAAGTGGTATATTTGTTGCTCAAGGCTCCTAGAAAAAGAAATCTAAGAGAGTTTTGCCAGCTAGCATCCTTCTTCAGGAATAGACACTAAATTAGGATTTGTTACAGGTTTATAGAAAAAGGAGACCCAAATGAATAAGATTGAAGATAAGTGATGTAGAACTGTTTTGAAGTGAAAAGACGACATGGGGACTTTTATTGGGGAGGGAGAGCTCTATGAATACCAGAAAGGGAAATAATACTGTCTTTAAGACATGGGAAGAAAAGTTAGCAATTAAACAATGGAAGTGCTATGCAAAATATAGTTGGTTAAAACAGTGTTTTTTCCCATATGAAACACAAGCTTTTTGGATTATGTGGAAATTAGTGTCATATGCCTTCTGTAAAATACAAACCCCCCAAAAGGGAAGAAAAGCAATGGAAAGTCCTTATAAATGTTGAAAATCCAGCTTACACTTGATAAAAATAATGAGATATGAAATGTTCCCCATAAAAGAACAGTGTATTGTAGTCTAGTTTATTTTCCACGTGTTGGAGCTTCTTTTGTTCATAATCTGGCAATGACCACACAGATCTACCCAAAACGTGACAGCTACTTGTGTGCCTATAGAATTAATAATTTATGGCACAGAGCTCAGGATAGAGTACATAGCTCTTTAACATGGTGACTCCAGTAGAATTTACGTGTCATATCCTTCCAAAGTAAGGAGTCTTGGGTTTTGTTTTTTTATGCTGATAGTAAATATGTTTTATTCCAATCTACTGACCCTTTCTTTCTCACTGTGGTTTGCCACTTTCTTCAACAGATTCTTTTGAACTTTTTATTTTGGTGGACAGTGAGCATCAGCACCAAGATGACTCTAAGGTAAGAGAGGCACTTTAGCTTTGCTTTCTTAGTTGTATTGATGAACCATCATTGTATCTTCAATTAACAACATCATTTTACAGGACAACAAAACAAATATGGAGATTTTTGTATGTAGCCTAGAGTCCTATATAGGAATCCAACCCATGGCCCAGGCCTTAACATAAGTACAAACTAAAGGGAGTATTGATGAAGCCAGCCTTTTTCTTGGTGTTAGTTGATATTTATCATCAGAGTTCAGTCACCCAGTTATTAAAAGTAATAAACTACAATATTAGTGATAGCATTAGGGGATACTGGAAATAAGGGGGTTTTTTTCTCCTCTGAGATGATTAGGCTTTACCTAAAACATGGGGGAAACTAACATATGTTATAAAAAAATACCTTTCTGATCATGAAGACTGATTAAAAATTAAATATTTTGTTGTTATTAAATATTTTCTGTCTTATATCACTGGAGAACTTCATAGTATGCTTCCCTGGGTAATAAGTTACAATGAAATTAGAGCTGAAACATACCTTAACAGCCAGTCAGCTTGGAAAGATGAAATAATTTGCCCCAAATCACAGAGCCAGTTAGCAACTAGTCTGAGTCTCCAACTCCTTTCTTCTAATTTGCTCCAGTGGCTTTCTCAGAAGGTTTTGAATTGCATTTTATGTTGGATGGTTTTGGTGGTGATATTTTTTTTTGTTTCTTTTGGTACTGAGGATTTATCTGAGGGGCACTTAACTACTGAGCACATCCCCAGCCCTTTTTATTTTTTATTTTCAGACAAGGTCTTGCCAAGCTCCTGAGACTGGCGTGAACTTGTGATCCTCCTACCTCAGCTTCCCAAATCACTGGGATTAGAGGCATGCAACACTCTGACTGGCAAATTGTTGGTTTTTTTTGAAGCTATCATAAATATATCTGATGAGAAAAATTATTTTGGCTAAAGACAGCAGGGTCAGCTTTAGTTCAGGGATATTAGTGCAATTCACCATAAAGAATGTTTGAGGTGAGGCAGTTTCTTGGTAATGACATTTTTTTCTTTGCATTATATGGGTGAAGTCCTAGATGATTCCAGCTCTGACTGTCCAATTCTGTCATTTGTCACTGTGCTTTGCTTCCATTTTCTCAATTCAGGACATAAAGATCATGAAACTCTGAAACAGGAAAGAGTGCCATTATTCTCCACCATACAATTTGTTCTTAAATTAAGGTATTTGATCTTTCTATACCTTCTGTAAATACCTTCCCCAAAATGGAAGAAAAGCAATGGGAAGTCCTTATAAATATTTAAAATCCAGCTCAATTTGCACCAGTCAGCTTGTATGCACAGTCTCTAGGGCATTCCTGAAATCACTGTCTTTTGCCAGCTTTTACATATACCATTTTAAACTTCTCATTCTACAATTGTCATTGTCTCAATTATAATTGTCATTGTAGACAAGATACATTTTTGGTCAACTTGTATCCTAATACTACTGAATTACTAAGCCCAGTGACAAAAAAAAAAAGAGGCAATCTCATTCTGTCAAAATAATTTATCTAAATGTAAATTTGTCAGAATAGCTGTAATCTGTAATTCTGATTTTCACCAGAACTATTTTTTGTTCCTGTATTTATAGGACAGGCTAACTAGACTGAATTAGGCCTTCCTCTCTAGTTCAGTCTAGTAGCTCTGTGTAACCCAGATATAGGTCCTTGGTTCCATAAATAGATATAAGTAGAGTAAGTATGTGCTTGGATGGTGTTATGATTTAGATCTGGGGAGTGCCCTCAAAGGCTTATGTAATGAAAGCTTGGTCCTCAGTACAGCAGTATCGAGTTGGGGCTTCTGGGAGGTGATTGGATCATGAGGTCCCTAATCCCATCAATAGGATCATTCATTCATTCATTCATTCATTCATAGATTCATAATTAAATGAACTATTGGTAGGTGGCAGAAACCATAGGAATTGGAGCCTACTTAGAGAAAGGAGG